TTGACAGTCTTGGCAGAGGGGTCCAGCCAGCGGCTAGCGTATGGGGTGACGGGGGTACAGTGCTGTTTCATGGTGCATCGGCCCTCGCCGCTACACCAGCCACACTGGAACTTCCTCTCTGCCCGCAGACACATGCCGCAGCTGTCTCTCTGGGCGCTGCACTTGTAGAGGTGCACTGTAGGATAACGCATAGGACATCTGGTCAGTTGTTCCAATATCAAGTAATCTCACATACCCATATCAGTGATGAGTGATATAGCACTCCTGTTCAAAGGTTAATAAAGCGAATGAAACCCATAAAATATGCAGTAAACTTAGGACCAGCAGGGCGTGCTGCTACATTTTGAACAACTGAGCAAACTGAATCAGACTCATCAATCAAATCAGAATGCATACTTAAAACGCATACTGTTGAAGGGCTGGTAAAACATTAAGAAGAATGATGTCAAAATAATCTAATAAAACTTTGAGTCTCTCTTACATCCTTTCTGCTGTAAGTATCATATATGTATGGCCATATAAAGTAACATACTGAAATAATGAAAAGGCCTGTTGAAATGTTAAAAGCCATCATAACCTTGTCTATGAGGATGATCTATATTTATATTTTTCAATTAGGTGATTGACTGATGCTAGTGTTACATAGTTCTACTTTGATGTTTAATTAACTCAGAATGACAAATGACCAACACCTTTTCTTGCATGATGATGGAGCCACGAAAGCCAAACTGAGCAAATATGAAGATTTACCCTGCACCCCTATGGCTGCACAAGCGATTGGGCGCTTTTTGATAACACCCTCTTCTATTGTGAACTTTCACTCAAGGCCCTTTTGGAATGATGAAATGCTCTCTATGACCTATCTGTGCCCTGTGGATTGAGTGCTTTACACTCCTCTGGCTTGGTAGCGATGGATGGCAGAGGCACCTTTAATCTTCTCAGGATTGTCGATGATGAAATTGCCGTTCCATACAATGGAGAGGTCCACTGCCAGGTCACTGATCTTCACACCCTCGTACATGTACTGAAAAGCAGAAACAGAGTGAGGGAGTGTGTGGAAAGTGCATACAGGGAGAGAGAAAGTCAAAAAGAGACATGGGATAGAGTAAAAAAAAGATACAAGGAAAGACAGAGTGGGAGAAAATGAGAGGATGAAAGGGCAACAGAGAGATGAGGCTTTTAACCATCTGTCATTTCTGCCATGGTTGTCTGCTCCTCTCCTCTTTGACATGTGCGGACACAAACCCTGGCTGCTGTAGCCAATCATCCACATCTGAAGAAAATGGCCTCTTCATTCATTGTCACAAAGTAGCAAAATATATTTCCATTAAAATGTAGCCTGTCGTTTGCTCCCTAGAAACTTAATCCCAAGGCAGACTTCCTGATGAGGAGATTACCATCATGCTCTGTGGACACCTTGATGTTAGCCTGACATTAACCTTACAAGACAAGGTCATAATGAAGTTATGATTTCCATCCTGTTCACTTTAACCACAGAACTGCTTTCCATTTTTCCTTCCTTGTCACTCTCCTCCTTTCTTTCACATGCTTTTCAGTTTTCCTCATCGCACTCACTTCCCTCTTCCTTTATGTTCTTCTCAGTATGCACAGCACCTCAGGCGGTATTCAATGATGTGCCCTATGTACCTTTCCTACACAGCATCTGAGCTGTCCGCCTCATTTGACAGCTGTGAGGCTCACGCTGGGAGTACATACCGAGCTGTTCTGGCACTGCACACTGGTGCTGTTGAAGCGTAGCGCCGTGACACGGTGGCTGACACCCTGCACGTGCACCACGCACTCGTAGCCCCGCTGTCCCGACTGTGGCTGAGGAAGGTTCCGGGCCTTCAGGGTGATGGGTCGAACCTCACCGGCTGGAATGAGGATTTCCCCAGAGTGGAGGAGCTGAGGGCAATCCTTTGAAAACATCATACAAATGCATGTAATTGTTCTGTTCACAGTAACGAATCTTGCATTTTTTACATTATTCATACTACTTTGCCTTAATATTGTCCATACATAGTACATATGACTATCTGTGGTACCTAATCTATAGTAACATGCACTGTATGAATGGCACATGCAGTCTAAACATGAAGGACTAATGTAGCAAAGGGGTTAATGGAGCCAATAAATTGCTAGTCCAAATGTAATTTCCATTCATCTGCTACATGTTACATTCCACTACTGGCAACTATATAGCCTACAAGACTAAGGTCAGTTGTTGTACTAGAAGCATCTGTGGTTTTTAGTGCAGTACATTTTTCACTGATTGTCCCAGTATTTCTTGAATGGCTGGTTATTTACAGAATAGTATTACTGCTAATATTTAGTCTTTGCAGCACAGTTGTATTCATCTTAGTGGCTTCGTCATTAATGTTTAGCCTGGCTGGCAGCATGGCTCATGGCATGACAATGATAATCAGTGAGTACATCTCTTTAGAAATATTGTTGTAAGTACTGGATGGATTGCTGTGATATTTAGAATAGATTTGTCATGCCAAGATAATTTGTAATGACTTAGGTGATCTCTTGACTTTTCATCTAGCGCTGTTCAGTATCTTAGATTACTTGCAAAACAAACATCATTCCCATCAGCCTCAGCTGTAGTTTTAGTGATAATTGTCAAATGTTAACTAAAAGAAAATGGTAAAAGCGGTAAACATTTTTACATATATGCTTATTTGCTTTAATCTCAAAGCACCTGTATCTAAATCAGCCTACTATGACTGTAGTCTGGTTGATTATTTGTCACAGGACTGTATTTTTACATTAAATCATGCATTGTGCCTTTGTGGTAAAAGTGTTGCATAGTAACAATTTAATGGTGCTATTTATGTCTACACTTTAATCAGCTAATGAAACTGTAGCTCTGCAGTGTCTCTGTGTTATTAATGTACCTCCGAGGTGTTGACTCTGCCCTCCTGGAAGGAACAGCTGCTTGGATCATGGGTGCACAGGTTGCGGTACTTACACCAGTGGCATAGAAAAGTGCTGTTTACACAGGACAGGCACCTGCAGGATCAAATGAACACATTTACACTGACCCTGCAAAATATTTGTTGCATGCTTTGTATATTAAGTCGCTTTGCATTTACACAGTATTTAATATATTAAAGACGAATGCCTCTTTACCTTGCACCCTAACTCTGAGCTATCAATGGTTGGCCTTCTGCGGTAGACGGCAACTATTTCAAACAAGACTCTGCTCAAGCTAGGAGTCAGATGCTCTCAGCAGAGTTTCAACAAACAAAATCAAAACAGGCCTTTGCTGAAGAAGGCAGAAATGCCATAGCATCTGTGTGCTCTATCAGCCATGTGTTTGTAAGCTAAAGAATAAAATGTAATATTGAAGCATCTTTTAGACTGCGAAGGCCTTTTTTGATTTTGTTTGTGGCAGATGACAATAAATGACCTAGAGCATGAGATTTTGGCAGGAGAATGTCTCTGTTGCTCAAAAGCACTTTTAATGGTGTTATATAAAAGCACGTAGTACTGTATATCAAACCATGAGCGTCCTTGTTAGATGTGCATCAGCTTTTCATTGTCACAATTCACTGAGTAGTTTTATAGTGCCTTGTATTATGTTTCTGATTTTTGAAAAACATGTTTGCTGGTGTTTTTGAAGTCACCTATCCAAATGTGGATTATATACAAAATCTGGAATGGCAGTGAGAGACGAATATATGAAGGATAATATTGTTCAATATCTTTGGCTCTAATTCATTTGACTGCAACCAACGGTCAGTTATGGATTAAACTTAAACTGACACAATTTTTTTGGACTAAAGTAAAAAAAATCAAGAAAGAAAAGACCTACTTACATATGTACTATATACTTTGATACACTATACGTTAGTGCAGTCAGGTGGATGGATAGATGTAGTGCAGCACCATTAAATTTCGATATTAATTAGCTGCCCACGGCCAGTGTGGATATACAATCTGTGTGGGAGACAAAGAATCTTGGGGGTTGGGTATTAATAGAACCGGACTGGCAGGGGGCTACAAACACTGGGTAATTAATTATGGAGGATGATGTGATGCTGAGGTGATGGAGGTGGTGGGGGAGGAAGAAGTCCTGGGTTTAGGAGTATGTTTGGTCTGAAATATTAATCACAGGAGTTCAGAGGGTCACCCCACAGCTAATGGAGGCCATACTGGTATGGGGCGGGTGTGATGAGCTTCCAACTGTTTCTCTCTAATGGCTTAATATGGTTCTATTGAGACATTCATGTCACAGTCAAAGAGCATTTAGCTGGCATGTGTATTCACTGTGGACTAATTTTCAGGGTTTAGCTATGAATACTCCATAAATCAAATGTTTCCTCCTAGAGTGATCTTATTATACTCTGTGCCCCTGAATTCCAGCTTTTGTGCACTCATGGCTCAGAATAATTCATGGCACAGTTAAAGGTCAATAAAGGGTGTGTGCAAGGCTGTTGGTTCAAATCTCAGCACCTCAAAAAAGAAATATTACTTTCCTACTCTCAGCTGTCGCTCTAGGTGTCGAAAACAGTAGAAATTTCATGGCACAGGTGATGTGATTTAGCTTCTTTGGGGCTTTGTTAACATAGACTTATTTTTAAAACCACCAAATGCTAGTAATTGGCTTTCATCCTAATAGGATCCACCTTTGTAGCAGTGTTTATAATTGTTATTCAGCTAGAAACACTCCTGTCATAGCTCACTGTTAGGGTAAATACTATTGACATTAGCATAATGGCTCAAAGTCAAAAGTGATTTCCTGTCCAGTTAGGGAGCTATATTAGCAGGGTAAAACAGATGCACATTCAAATAAAGTCCTCTTTAATTTACATAGTTTTATTTACCCTCCATGCACAAGAGCAAGCCTAAAAATTTAAAATGTCGTACGTCTTATTTCTGACAACAAACACTGTGGCAAAGTCATAACAAAAAGGAGCGCGTGAGTCTAATGCTTATCTATTTAGAGGTCCTAGTTAGACTAGTGAAGAGTGTTGCATTAAAAAGAACATGCATGTTTTGCAAAATGGTGTATTATGTAGTGTATAAAAATAATGGTCACTGAGATTTTTTTTTCTTTTAGAACTGATTGAAAACTGTGGTTTAGTTGTATTTAAAGGTACATAAATAAGCAATAAGCCCACAAACTGCCAGTGTAAGCAAACTCAAAGCAAACAGGCCATAGCAAATGCATCGTGTTGATTTAAATGAAAACTGACAGATAAATTGAATTCAGAGGTTATCTAACAGCCTGATCTTAAGTGGGGCTGTGAGCAGCACTACATCATTGCCCTGAATTAAGCTGTGCTCTACAATCTATTGAACAAATCAAAGGTGGGGGTGAGGGTGAGGGCAGTGGCAGCTGTACTCACGTTTGATGCGTGCTGCAGTTGTAGAACTTCACCTCCGTGCTGGCGACCATTTGACCTGTCTCCTTTGAGTTTAGACGAAGCTCTACGCCAGCCCAGTCTGGGGGGGGGGGGGGCGCCAGGTGAAAGGAGGGAGAGTGAGAAAGAGCAGCATGAAAAAGAGATGAGACAGACAAAAAAGCCTGGGTGAAAGAACTAAAACGAGCCAAAAGCGGAGGTCAGAATGAGAAACAATATTAATATTTTTATCACACTTCTGTAAAGAGCCACCTGGGGTCTGCTTCTCTGCAAGGACATACTGCTGTTGTCTTGAGAAAACCTTCAGTCAGAGACTTCAATTGAAGAATTAGTGTACGTGCTCAGAAGAAATTTTACAGCTCCTTGGGATGTGTCAGACTCCTTGAATAACCAAAAAATGGAGGGCTGCTTTTTGTTAGACTGTGGAATGTTGATATATGTTTTCCATTTGACATTGGCAACATATAATACTTAGCTTTTTCTTTGTTTTGAGACCTGGTGTATTAGCTCACCTTGCCCTTCTGGTATCTGAGGGACTTCCTTCCCAGCTGGGGACAGACACATAACCCTGTTCCCTTTGACGTGACCCTCCACTTGGGCCTGCTGGCCAAATGAGCAGGTGATTCCAGCAGAAAGGTCTGGAACATTATTCACCTCCAGCAGAAGCTAAAAGAAAGCAGAGGAGGAAGATTTCATGTACTCAACTTGAGACTGGCCTGGTGGATTGATACAGTTTGACCGTAATACATAAAACATTTTACTGTATGTGTTAATTAGAGTATAGGTTGAGAAAATTTGCTTATTAGTTTTCTGGCATAGAGTGAAATGATACAACTGTCATATTTGTAGATTAAAATATGTTGCAGCCAGCAGTCAGTCAGTTTGACTTGGCACAAAGCCTAGAACAAGGGGAAGCAGAACTAAATCGGATGTCTGCACCTCTAAGGCTAACCAGTGAATGCATACTGTATCTCATTTGTTTGATCCGTACAATAGTTGAAGCGTAAAAATGACAAATGACTATGGGAAGTTACTGTTCCTAGCATCTGACTCCTAGCTAGTCATAGTCTGGCACATAAGCCCCCTGTGAAACTGGAATATGTTGTTTTATGCCTGCACACCAGTGACAGAAGTGGCCGGAGTGGAGGCATTATGTTTTGAGGTTGTCCTCTTCTTGCCAACATGATATCTCAGGAACACCTTGAGGGAGTTTCTTCAGATTTGGCACAAACCTCCTTGGACTCAAGGATGAACTGATTTGATTTTAGTGGTCAAAGGTTAAGGTTAATCTTTGGTAAGGTGGTAAATCTACTGTAGTTACACATTAAACAAATAAGATATCAAATGTTATGTGCTCCAGTGGTGTCGGTAGGCAGGTTTTGCAACATTTGAATAAAGCTTCGCCGAGCTAAGCTACTGTAAGTTAGCATCTCCTGTTTCCAAATTTATTTTTAACATTTAAATGAATAGTATTTTTCTCAAAATGTCAAACTATTCTCTGCTGTTCCTTAGCTCTTACTGTGCACCACTCCTCTGTGCCTTTGGCTACTGTACAAAAACAGCTGAATTAAACCTTTGAAATGTAATCGACCTTTTGGCAGATGCATCAGAGACGCAGACAGAGACAGAGCTCAGTACTACAAAAACAACTCCCACCTCTTCACGTTTGCCTCCCATCCCACAGTACATATGTTCAAACTAAATAGTCAATGTCATACAGGGAGAGACTCTCTCCCTTACTACTCTTCACTCCTGGGCTTTTATGTACTGTACATGTGGCTGTACAAGGCTACACACAGTGGCCGCTCATAACCAGTGACAGTGCATTGATTGGTGGAATGATAAGCAGACTCACAGGGATACTGTGTGCTGACACAGCAATGCTATCTGGGTGAGCAATGACCTTCACACAGCTGTCAATGTCAGTGGCAAAACGAAAGGTTTCCTCCGCCCTGTGACACCGATCCATCCTTGAGCACCTGTTGAACAGTGGAAACTCGTAAGCAAACATATATGAGCTAGTGCAACACGTTTAGTGATGACATATAGCCAGAAAGCTCTCAGATTTTTAGTCATGCTACCTGCATGGCTTTGTATGGCAACGTCTGTCAGTCCAATACTGATGTTTTCTTCAGAAATTCATGGTTCCTAGAAGATGACTTACTGACTTTGCCGATCCCCTGACCTTTTCTATTTCTGCCACTTTTTTTCTGCACTGCCGGCTGCTGGCTTTGTGTGGTTTTGTTTGATACCACATACAATAAAGTGCTTGAGCACCTGATACTTTGCAACTGTGATGGCCGAAGCTCTCATTGTTATTACAGTTTGTGCCAGTTGTGTTGCTGCCACTAAGATAACCTATTGAATATCTACAGTATATTGTATAGACTGTATAATGTCTAAGGTGACAGACTTGCCCTTGCAAGTTGAGACAGACTGGCCCATTGGGAAAATCCACGAACTTCCTGACGGCCAGTCCGCACCTGTCTGCTGCACATGGCTGCCAGATACTTGGTTTGATTAGTCTCTTTACTTTTTTTATATTTTACTGTCCCTTTCTGTAGAGCAAATTACACTGAGTGCAGCAGTAAAATAAGCTTCAACTCCTAGATCCCAACGGGCAATTAAAAGCAGTGCGTAACCTTAGAATAATATGGTAAGACAGAAGTGCAAAGTAAAAGTATATGCAAGTTTTGGCAAGGGTTAGAAAGGATTTTAAAAACTTTTAGCAATTTGCCTAGCTTTAGAAATGGGGTTTGTTGTTGAGATGTATGTAGCTGCAATGATACTGATTTATTTTAAACAGTTTAGTCTTTTGCAGTTTGAAATAGTAACAGGCAATCTCAGCTTACAGTTAACATAAACTCAGAGTATTCTGGCTGTACAACATCTTTTAAAAGTGTAAGGAGTCTGTACTTAATACACTCTGAAGTATTGCTGAGGGGGTGGCACCTCACGAGAGCTCAAACAGCACTGAGGCCCTTGATGTAATTACAACACAATTAGAACAATCTGAAGTCGGAATGGAGACACAGTGACAGCTGTTGCTGGCTGGACTCCTTGAGGCGGACCAAGGCACAGAAGTGGCATCTCAGACTGTCTTTCATTGTCTTTTATTTTGCCTCTTTTATCACCATGTTTAGTCTGATGGAGCCATTGGTTCCCTTTACCTTCAGTCTTTTTACATGTTCAGCTCTCATATTCATTCCCCCACCCCACCAGTTAGGTCCGCTGTAGTAAGCGTGGGAAAGAGAGATGACACTCTGTGACAAAAAAAATAAAGTAGCCTCCTTCCACAGTGTGAGGGATCATGTTTTACTTTGGGTTACTTGAGGGAACAGTGGCCTATCTATTCACTGATAAGTGTAAGGCATTAATTTAAACAAACAGTGTAATGGGACTTGCAGACAAAGTCAGCACTCCAGGAAAAAAAGGAAAAACAACTGTTTAATGAGGTAATTTAGATAAAAGAAAACACCTTTTTTTTTCTTCTCACTTCACTGGCAATTTGATAACACTGAGAGGCTGCAATTTAAATAGTGTTGATCACCGTCAAGATATCGCTGGCAGAAACGCAGACATCATATTGATGAGACAGGGGTGCGTCCCTCGCTGAGGTCAGCTCCAAACACAACAGCTGGTTCAGAAACACACAGTTTTAATCCCCTTAGCTCCATATCAAGACCCCTGGGGGTCAGATAATTAAGATGGAAGAGATAAGCGTGCCCCCTCAGATCCAAAATGTTCCCCAGGGATGTGGAGGTCCAGTTCGTACACCCGCTGCGACTGCAAGACTAATCCCTCCCTCCTCCATTAACAGCAGTCATCCTCTTGCCTGACAGACAATAAAATCTGCTGGGTATGCAGTTTCTGCTGCCCTAAATGGCACAGTGTAAGAGGGATCACATTGTCCAACAATCACTTCCTGGTTTTCTCTTTGTCCCACCAGCTGTTTATAATGGTGAACTCCAGAGACTACAATAAATCTGTTATATTAGATCACACGACCACATGCTTACCTTTATTTATAGCTCTCCACCAGCTTTTTGGTAAACAGTAATGTTGTGGTTTTAATCTCTTGAATGTGATGTGTGTATGTGGGCATGGGAAAAGATGAAGCGAGTGGACTCACATGTTGTAGAGGACACACCAGCCACAATGTGGGTCACCAGAGCTCAGGCACTCGGCACATGTACCGTACTGTTCACAGGCCTCCACAGGGACCTGAGCCACCTGCAGCAGAGGAATGACGGGGAGTTTTACACTGTGTATGAACACATATTAAAGAAAGATGCACTGGTAAATGATCAAAAACATGCAGTACCACGAGTTAAAGCGTTTTTAAAGAGAAAATAAAAACTACACTCAGCAAAATGTCTTAGGATATGATTCCAATGGCAGCCACCTTTAGTCACACTCGGGGTGGGAAACATTGCCAGCAAGTTAAGCCCAATTTGGCCCTTTTGTTGTATACACTGGTCCATATGATACGATCTTTATAGTGGATCTGAATCACCATGTGCAGGTTTTTTGCATCTACTCTACCTGAATCCTGAATTTAGTGTAGTTAATTTGTTCTACAGTGATAAGTTTTTGCTTGTTTGTTTGTTTTAAATAGTAATAAGGTGGGACAGCATTCTTCACGTTGTAAAGTAACACTAGTTTTATCAGTGAAGATAGTTTTATCATTCTAAAAAAGCCAAAGGAATTTTTCAACATTTTTTAAACCAGAAAGGCAAACTGCACTTTTAGCTGATGCTTCATTAAGCTCACTTGGCGATTAGGAGAACAGATCAGTGATACAGGGAACTCAAATGATGTGATCTCCAGCTCCGCATACATTATTCTGTAGTGAATCAGAATTATAAACACACTGCACACTCAGCTGGGCATCTTCAATTTTTCAGTAAATATGTACAGTAGCTGCGTCGTGGAAGAAAATGATATACATGTATTAGGAAATCAGAATTGGGAGTCTATATATTGATGCACACAATAATATACAAATGATTCAGAAATACACCTATAATTTAAAACTAGATAAAGGAAACTTGTTGCTTGATCTGCATGTGTAATCTGCGCTGCCATGTAAAGGACTGCGTGTTAAAAATGGTCACCATGGAGTGGAAATAAGGTCAGTGAAGGCATGAAACCAAAATATTCTGATGAAATAATAATCAGTTCTGATGAGGAGAGACCAAAGCCGATTTCATCATGTTGTCTTTTGCAATACATGCAAGATTCACCGCAGAAGGCCGCACACTGTAGAAGTTCCCAAGGGAAAATGACCTTTATTCTACTTTTTGCTGCTGACACAAATTTGCAACATGAAGTATTTTGGTCCTGCCCACATGAGGAATTGTCTAATTTGTTTCTCTCGAACGGCAGAAAGACATGAAATGACACCACCGCTACTGTTTTTGAGGAGAATTTCTGCAGCAATATACATATTAAACTTTTCTTTATAACATTTGATAAACAATGTTCTTGTTCCACTACAGCATTACAATTTGTGGACTCCTGCAATAGTAATTACTCTGTAAGAATACACTATAGATTTGTGCTGGTATTTTTTGCAGAGAGGAACACGCACAAGCAAAAAGGCATAATAATCAAACAGACAAGCACACTCTGTACTACTACCGCTACTTCCATGTGTGAATGTCTGTCAAAGCATAAGCTCTCCATCAGCTGCTGTGAGAGTCAGTGCCTTCACTTGGCCAGCACCACCCCTGCATACAAAACTGGGTTAGAGCTGCAGCCTGACACTGGCCATTTTATACTTTATTATTCTTCTAGGTCTGGACGTATGATGCGAGCAATTTCCTGATGTAAGCAATCACAAATGAAGAGTGGATTATGGATTAGAGTGTCTCCGGTGACTTGATAGCATAAGTGGGTGCTCTCTCAGGTCTGTGTTGGAAAAATGGATTATCTTCTGCTCCCTATGAAATAACTTTTTCTTTTTTTTAACCCAGCAGTTTCAGAACCCATTTGGTGCATTCCATTAGCAAAATGATTTTGTACTGCAGGAGGGGCTGAGGGCTCTTATGTCCATGTCTGACGCAGTAGGAATAATCCATGAATTGTTGTGGACTGGAGCTCGTCTAAACTAACAAAGGTAGTCTGTGAGGAAGCGTGACCTTTACAAGGGGAGAGCAATGGATCTTCTGCTTTCTGTGGCCCGGCTGAAAATCAAATGTGAAGCTCCCACTGCACATCAGAGTTGATTTGTTTGGTAGAATGCACCATGTTGAATCCAGATAAGGTCAAAAGACATATCCTTAGGTTTTATGTTCACAGGGTGCTGAACTGATACTAGATCAGCATGTGAATCGACCTGATCATTCTCCCTCTCTGTTAGTTCCATTGTATGTTGGTCTTGTTACATACTGTTTTCATTTTATACCATCTTTTTAGTTTTCTGCCTTATTTGCATATTGGCATTTGAGATAAAGTCGCCACATGTGGACAGAGAGAGAAGGGTAGAACAATGAACCGCTGGTCCCTGGCAGAAATCTCACTCTTGCTGTTATATGTTTAACATACTGTATCTTAATCGCTAGGATATGTCAGTTCATGTTATTATTATTTTTGTAGCCTTTAATGGTTCTCCTACTATATCACTGATGTCAGTGGTTGCTATAGCCTTTGAAAGTAGCCAGACAGGTGGGGCCAAATAGCATGGATGTTTAAAACAGAGATTATAGCCAAAGGTTGGAAAGCCAGCATTACGATAGAGCATCAGTGGAAATAACTGACAAAGGACAAACCAACAATTCTGATAAAATATCCAGACTACTACAGCTATAGTTTTGTTGTTTGCTAAAATGATAATGTCATGATTTCAGTTCTGTTTAAATTGTATAATAATGTACAGTGTTATTGTTTCCAAACCAAAGAAGGGCACCAGTAAATAAATGTAATGATACTGTACATGGGTATTCTTTACATTTAATGCTACTTTCATGGTAAAACCTACAGTAGATTGAAGCATATGAAAACCTCTACGGTGTATGATTTTTATGCTTCTGCGCCAGCATTAGCTGCGGCAGGAGGCATTTATGTTTCACTTCTGTCCCGTACCCGTCAATTTGACCGGTTGGCAGAGGCACACAACCGCGAAGCAGTAATTCTAGTTTTATTTTAAATGAGTGCTACTTATTTATGCTATTTCAAGTTAATATTTTGGTGATGCAGGGATTTCATTTCACAGTATACTGTTTCCTCCTTCTTTGATTGCTGGACCACAGAATTAAGACTTTCGTGCTCAGTTCATGTTCAGTGTACTGTAAATGCCTCATAAATCATTTATGACTGTATTTAGTACTTCTCATCCAGCTTCTGTCTAGTCTTCTCTGAGTGAACGTTTTCAGTAGAAACTGATCATGTAAAGCAAACGGAGAAAAACCAATGTAAATCCTGAGAGGCGGAATCTTAGTCTGTCTGATTCTGAATATTATCAGTGTTGCATCATTGCAGTGCAGTATGATAATCACATCCACTTTTCAAGCTTTGAGAGCTACAAAACCTTTATCCTTTCACAACATCTGGAATGCCCCTCACACTAATGTTCACCCTCGTCATCTTACCACTTGGCTAGCACTTAAACTCTTTTATCCAGATTTACTGGAATCTTTGAATGCAGTGGGATGAGCATGGAGGCTTTTAGACTTCTGCACAGCTATCATCCATGCCCTCAGCGTGGCTGTGGAAAATCCCCTGCCATCATGTGACTGTCTGTGTCATGTGGAAGAGCTGCAGAGTAATGCTGTAACTTTTTTCTTTATTTATTATTTGAATTTAATAATAATAACATTTTTAAATTAAACATTTGGTTTTTGGGCAAGAATGAAAATGAAATTGTAGGAAAATTGTAATAATAATAAATGTCTCAGTTGAGTAAACAATAACATTTAAACAGATAAGATCACTTCTGACAAGACTGTGCTCTATTTATAATCCTCATTTCATGTACTTTCATCATGCTTTGACTCGAACTTGTGAAGTGTGCTACGTAGGACAGAAAAACTACTGATAAGTGACAGTTTAGAAATTAATTCAAGTTTATCATTCCAAGTACCCCTGGCTCTAATGCAGGGAGTTATCTACTTAAAGATATAATGAGGGTTTTCAGTTTGAAACTAATATTCCCACACTTCATGCCATGCACCGTTATATTACATTTCCACTTTCTGATGTGCTGCACACCAGTGATTCCAAACCAGGGGTGAAATGCTAAGTGTGCCTTGAAACATTTTTTTTTTTAAATAGAATAGGTTTTGATGAGAAAAAAATCCAGAAATTTGTAAGGATGTAATAAACATGCAAACAGGATTACAAAGTGATCAGTAAGCAATAAACTACCAGATACAAGTGACAGACTAAACATGAACCATCCTAACTCAGGTGTGACATATTGTATATTACTAGCAATTCCAGGATTAATATGTCTTGTATGAAAAAAAATGCAATTTTTACCTAGTTTTATATAATTAATAGTGTTGACTAGCATGCTGCTTAATATTCTCTACTTGAATTAATCGGATATAGCTGTGGGGGACCTCAGACAAGAAAGGTTGGGAGCTGCTATTATCGCATACAGGTGAGGAGGGGAGATAAACAGAGGTAGAGAGAAATGAAGAAGTGGATGGGCAGGATTTCAAGCTAAAATGTAGCATTTTACAGAGTGGCACTTTGAGAGATTGCCCTGGAAAAACCCTGCAGCAGTTTCCTGCCTTCACTAAGGTTTAAGCCTTAGCCATCATTTTGCAGACGGATGATTGACGTTCGGTGAGGTTACTGTGTGTTTGAAAGCTGTGTTCTGTTCTTAAAAAGGATCAAACTAAAGGCACACTGTTTTGAAAAAGATGAACTGCTGCGAATAATTTGTTTTTGTTGTTTTTTGGGGGATTTTGTTTTCATTTCAGTAATGGTTCCCAAATGCTGTTTGGACACAGCCGCACACGTATCCTCACGCATAGACACTGATTCCCTCTTGCCTCTCCTGCTCTTCATCATCGTGCCGAGTGAAACATGCACCCTGCATGTTTCACTCGGCAGGAGACAGAGAGGTTCATTGTTATTCAACAAGGGTTGGCAGATCCCAGCCAAATCTGTGCTTCGCTCCTCATTCCACACCATTCCTGCATTGTTTGGTTCCCAGGAATCCCAGAATCACTCTTTTCTGGGATCTACTGGAAATGTGGGAAATCTGTGAGTGAAACCCTGTCCCTGGAGGACTGCTTTACTGAGCTGGGGGAAAATCTGAAGGGGAAGCTGAGCGAAGATGGAGACAGAAACAGAAAGAGGAAGGCTTTACTCTACTCCAAGCTCCCGAGAGCTACAAAGCCATATCTCTCCTAATATTGAGAGAAAATGCCTGGCCAAGATGGGTTTGGTTTTTACTCTGTTATGTGTCACTGGAGGCGGAGTGAAAAGAGTAGTCTGCTATCTCCTTGAAGGAACTAAGTGTCTCTCCTTAAACGACCAGAACTCATCAATAAGTGATGCCCTGTCTCTTCCAGTCCATCACACAGAAGGAGGAGCTGCCTTGATTTGTTTTAGAAGACACTAGATTCCAACACAATACTATCTCTGTGCTCCCTCGCTTCTTTTGATGACGCCTCTTGTTCTCTTAAACATCATGCTTTTATAGACTTTGGGGGCTGTTTCTCAAGCGCCCAGAAAAGACTTTGGAGCCACTCTGAAATAACTGACACAGCTCAAATTGTCCAGTTGCCCTTTGCCCCTCTTTGCTGTGACTCAGGCTCAATACATTCCAGCAATCAGAAGACATTTGAGAGCTTTTTGTTTCGGATGCACTGAAACCTTATCCCATTTCAGAGTACCATGCAGCAGCACCAAAATAATCACTTGACAGGAGTTGAAAGTGATTATCGCTGTTCGCTCTTATCTCCGATGAGTGCAGAGAATATTGTCCAACAACAACAGCAACAACAACAAATGCTCTATTCTGTCATGCCAGGCCAAGTGATGAGCAGACTAGGGCTTATACAGACACAGAAAGAAAGTCACTAACAGTTTTTTATGGGACGTGTGTGTGTGTATGTATGTGTTGCTTATAAAAGGTTTATTCGCTGTTGATTCACATGGATAAGTAATTAGAGCAGTCGTCCACCCCCTTACACACAGTCTGCATATAGAACAGTCCCTGTTGTAGACATACTGTACAGTTTGTTAATGTTAGAGAATTACCATGCTGGGTTTTGGGGATGAGTCATAATCATCTGGTAGAAATTAGCATTAATTTATCATTTATCATAAATTTATGTTTTTGATTTAAAATAGTTTATGGCTAATTCCTGAGCTGTACACAATAATGCTAACACTGAAAATAATGCTGTTTGTGCAGACCAAACTTTTTTTTTTCACCATTATGATAAATTAGAATTATATATATTAGAATTTATAAATCTGAATTTCTTATTTCTTTATTACTAATTGGTTTTGTGCCTTAGTGTAAATGTAAATAATGTTTTCTGTTTGTTCAGCACAGTTTCCATTGACCCCATTCTGTACCTTTTCATGTCCAGTAAACCTTTCGAATTTCATGCTACACATACGTTACTCAGTCAATGACACGTCAGCATGTCGAATGGGCTTCCAGCTTCCAACCCGCAGACTTCCAGCTGAGAACCTATGGGCTACATCTGCCCACTGCTCATTGTTTCTCCTGACAGCTGCAGCCAAATGAAGGCGGTTCCTCACCTGACTGTCTGACATGACATAGAGAGAGTTCCCGTCCTGGGAGAAGGCCATGTCCCGGAGGATGGGGCTGTTATCCTTCATCACAGTCACTGTCTCGTACAACACTCCTCCCTGCAAAGGACCGTCTACCCTGATCTGCATAGCACAGAGAAACAGAGATAAAGAGAGAGTGAATGCCATTGTGCAGGACATAGTGACTGAATGGTCACTACAGTCACATCTGTCCTCTGCTGTAAATCAGTTTGTGTCTTTTGCATCTGTATACAAGCTCCTACTGTTCATCCAAAACATTGCATTATAAGAAAATATTTTTCAAATGTTGTCAGCTGCCTAAGAAAAGAAGCATTATTCCATTAACATGTAGGACGTGGGGTTTATGAACTATACTGATCAACTTGCTGTGGCTTCACTCCTGGGGGGCTGTCACATTGTTATTATATTATTGTTATTATTATTATTATTGTCTAAGATAGACCAACACCAACTGAAAACTAAAAACATCACAGATTTGTTTTTTTTTTGTTTTTGTTTTTTTTTTGCATAGATGAGAGCAAATAAGTACATTTCCCAAGTAACTGTCCACCAACGTAATTCCAATTTGGTTTCCACTCAGCAGTTTCCTGTGGTTTATAGCCTGTATGCTAACTTTTCCTGTGTTGCTGCATTAGTATGCTTTGATAAATGTGTAACTGAAGGTCTACACAGTAAACTGGGTGTGGGTGTTTGCAGTGGAGTTAAATGTATGAATGATTTGTCTTCTTTTCATTTACGGCGTTTTGCATCCAGCACATTCGTGACTTGTGGTGGCGTGCAGCAAAAGCGTCTTCGTTAGTCCCACCTATCAAAAGCCAAGTGGGTCACAATTCATCTCCTCTTTCCCCACTGTTCTGTTTTATAAATGCCATTGCAAACAAACAATGCTCGCCGAATGCAGAACGTCCTCTGCTGCCACATGTGCACAGGTGCATCAAACAGAATTCACAAAAGTCAAGTGCAGTTTTCAGCGGTGTTTATAAATGCCAGCTGAAAATATAAAACTATGTTAAAACAGGTTAAAAAAAAGAAAAGGAGGTGACCCATCTGAATTTCAATGACCACCCTGGTGAAACTGAGAAGAGAAAGGAGGAAAGACTGTTGAATCTGCTGCTACTCAGTCAGTAGTCCAATTGGCCGGTGTGACAATGACCCACATCCACCGCTGAGGTTATAGCTACGGCACAGCTGAGATTTGAAATGTGTTCAGTGAGCTCAGCCTTAATTTAACTTTGGAATAACTTTCAGGCAGCAATCTTTTGGGGCTCATTAAATGTAAGCATGGAGAACAGATGCCCACTGGTGAAGGGTTTTCGATTCTCTTTTCCCAACTCTGCCTATAAACAAGATGCACTGCAGTGAGGAAAACAAATAACCAGGTCTCTCTTTGTAATAAGTGTCTTATTGATGTTTTAGCTGTGGAAAGGGGAGATGTTTGTAAAGAAGTAAAGTGGCGAGTAAGCTGAAAAACTCTTTATTACCCATTTGTAGTACTACTTGATGAAAGGGTTTGACCATTCTTCTGTATACCACAAAGACAAACCTTCTTCTTTGTCTGGTTTTATACAGTATTGCACAACCATTTCCCATTGTGTTTTGCACCACAAAATACTAGGCATATTATTATGAGAGCAAATACCTTTATTTGCTCTCATAAAAACACATCTTTTACTGTTGGGGCAGTAATGATGTGAATTGCATCATACTGTACAGTAATGATAACTTGACACATGAAGAATGTGCCAAGAAAATGAGAGAGCAAACTGAATAAAGCATGACAGGTAGAGAAAAAAATACTCATTAGCTATGCAAACCCAGGTTGAAGCCCTATTTAAATCCCAGGGAGATTGGATCATTAACCATGTGATGCAATTACAGTAAAGCTGAATTAATTTCTCAGTCATTATAATTAAAATAAATGCAAGATGATAAGTAGCAGAGAAATGTGGAATTGTCTGCAGTGCGATTAGGCCAGCCTTCCTCGTTTCCCGATTTGTGGACTTAGACAACCTCGCCACCCCAAATCAAATTTGACTGCAGAAGATTTTGAATGCGCGCCAGGTCTAGCTCACACACAGTGGCAGAGCCTCAGCAGTCTCTCAGTGGGGACAGTCAATCAATACAAACTGATTACATGATTGGATCCCCTGGGCACCAAAACTTCATCAGTCAATCACGCCTCCACCTTCCAGGCAGCTGTGTCTCTCCAACCTTCAGCTCTGCCAGCCAAAAATGAAGAAGGGAGGAACAAAATAAGGGCAAACATGCATGTATTGGTTTATGTGTATAGAAGGGTAAATACCGTAGGGTACGGAGAGAGTGCCGCAACATCTTCCATACAAACAATAGAGTAATGGGCACAATAGTGATTGTCTGTTGATTCCAGTTTAGAAGAGGAAGCAGCTTCTGGTCAGACTGTCATTACCTTGACACTGTGCACAATCCGGTCTTTGAAGCTTCCTTCTTTCTTGCTCATTGTCTGTTTTGTTTCTCATGCTCTTACTCTTGCTCCTACTCTTTCGCCCTCTCCCATATGACAGTCCCATGCAATAAATGATTCAGTTTATATAATTTTTTCCCACAGTTTCCATTTCATAAATACAGATTTAGACTATAACATGGATTTCTGTGGTGAAACCATGTATAAAAATCCCAAAACTATCCTCTAGAGAGGGACTAATACTGTGCCTGTTTTTAATTGGGATGATGAGGTTGACCAAGAGCCAGGGGAGCAGAGATAAGCTCAGACAAACACTGGCCCATCACGCTCAGTTTGTGGTGTTTGATTTTAGTATTAAAAGTGGTTTTACAGTATAATTTAAAACATGGCTGACCAGGCAGAATCCACTTGGGAGTGTAACAGGTCCTCAATCTCCTCTTAGGCCCCACAGCTCCGTAATGAGAGTAAGGCAGGTTTAATTGGTTTTATAATGAGCTTGCTTGTAGAAAATGACAGTCAATTACACACACATCCTCACCTACACACACAAGCATGCAAAGGCACGTATACACTTGCATACAAACACACAGAGCGCTCACTCTTTTGTTGATTGCTCGGTTGTAAATTATATGCATGATCACTTGTTTGATCCATACATTATCATGGATTGTGGTAAATCAAGAACACCCAATACGCAACGAGCCATAAAATGCAACATTAGGACCCACTTAAACTTGTCATTTTAAGGATCTGAGTAAAATCTGTTTAGTTAACTGCCAAAAGCACCAGAAAAAGAAAAACATCTGCTATTTAGCAGTGTAGCTACAACAATAAATGTTTAGCTTAAATAAAAACACATTAATCACATTTACGAACTACAGCTAGACACTTTTTTCATCTAGCTTTTACAGTTTGTCACTCCTACCACTCCTTCACCCACTCAGATCATTCAGTTACTGAACTAATAGGGGATCAGGTACATGCTAGAAAAGATCACTGTATCCTTCATTATGACCATGTGGTGAAGTCACTTTTCCTGTGACTTTAATGAGACACACAGAATGACAGCTAACTTCACTTTCATTTCAGTGTCACAGGGGACAGACACTATGAGTAGGGATTTACTTTAACATCTCTCTTGAACACAGCAATGAGATTTCAGTCTACTTCGAATGATTCTTGGTTGCACTTAGCTGATAAGCTGCCGGATCCTACCCAAGATGCGATGTGACTAAGTGTAAATGCTGCTTATTTAAGTACCCAGGACATCACTTCAAGGTGAACACCAAGGACTAGATAATATACTAAAACCTCAGTAAACGTCCTTTAAAAATTTTAGTAGATTCCCAATGTGTGGTTCATGTCCATGTAACAGAAGAGCTGAACTGATACGCCATGTGTCTTAGGCTCTGTCTTCATTCTCTCTTCCCAGTGTCTCACATTTGACGAGGATATATATTTAACCCATGAATAATATTTAAGCCAATAACAGCAATATCCTTCCTGCTGCTGAAATTCCCTTGCAGAACCTGCGGTGGATATAAACAGCCCAGCTTAGTATGGCTTCCACAAACAGATACTTCATGCGATGTGAGCCCATGTGCTCTTAAGCAAAACAGCCTCCATTTCTCGTGGCTCAGTTTGCATTTTAAATGCTTGGCTGCGCTTTCATCCTGTAAGAGCCAAGGGGCTAAAAAAAAAAAGACTTCTAAGATGTCAATTGGTTTGAGCCAGGTTGGCTCTGTTGTATAGCTCCCAGACCTTGTATGAGCAAAACACTCACCCAGATCTCTCTCCTGTGAGTAATTATATAAGGGATTGATTCTGAGATATACTTCAGGTTATTCATGCTGAGAGAAAGTATACATGTAAATGTCTTTTTTTACCTTTTATTTATTCAGGGAAAGGTTCACGGAGAGGCTGCCTCTCTTTTTCAAGGCCATCCTAGTCACATTCACACCTGGAAGCTGTGCAATACAACCACAAACTGACCTGTGGCCACTGAACAGCTGCACTGGAGCAGTTGGGGTTAAGGGCCTTGCTCAAGGGCACCGCCGTGGGGTTAATGAGAGTGAGGCAAGCTGTTTTGTCACCTGTCCCAACCTGTCTTGATCCTGCTGGTCTGGAGATTAATTAAACCAGTGACTTTCCGGGCATAAGCTTGCCTCTCTAACCTTTAGGCCACCACTGCCCTGAACCCCAGTTTTACTACTGTGGTTTGTGAACCTGTGTAAAATAGTTGATTAACATGTTTATGTGGCATCTAATCTTAAAAAAGTGTGTCCATATGTGGTTAGCCAGTCTTTGCCCTCTGAATTCACCCTGGTAACTTAAACATATGGAAGATGACCCAGGAGGCAAGGAGCACTCTGGTCAACCAATAACTCCCGGTCTGTCAGTCTAACAAGGTCGATCCCTGAAGACCAGTGTGTCCAACTTAAAACAGTCAAGATTATATTTGTTCTTTTCTTCTCTAGCTGTTTTGTTGGAAATCAATATGTTGCCTTGCATGCAAATCTCTGGTTTATAGGAAAACATTGTTTTTCATATAAAACCACCAAAAATAAAGGAGATACAGTTTGGCAGGAAGCCACACATAAATCTTTGATTACACTGGAAAAGGGTGCAGAATGAAAGTACACACAAAACAGTGGATGCTCCC